GGAGGCTGAAGACATGGACTCCGAATGGGCCATGCTCAAATTATGCATTGTAGAAGCATCTATTCTGAATTGTGGCCAGAAAGCCATAGGTGCCTGTCATGGTGGCAGCTTGAGACCCTGCTAGTGGACATCAGTGGTGAAGGAAGCCATCAGGCCTACAGGACTTGGCTGGCTCGGGGGTCTCCAGAAGCAGCCGATGGGTTCAGGCAGGGCCAAACGGCCGACTGGCAGGCCAAAAGGACTGCAGCTCGGATGGTTGTGGATGCAAAGACTCAGGTGTGGGAGAAGTTTGGTGAGGCTATGGAGAAGGACTTTCAGCTGACCTCAAGAAAGTTCTGGGAAACTGTCCAGAAATGGTAAGCAGGGCTTGGCCCAGGCTGTGTTTGGCAGGGAATATTGTCAGGCTGTGGAAGGAGTACTTTGAGGAACTTCTAAACCTGTCTAACATGCCCTCCAAGGAGTCAGGGGAAACCTCATCCATATCCCTGGCAGAGGTCACTGAAGTAGCTAAAAAGCATCTCGGTAGCAAGGAACCAAGGGTGGATGAGATTTGCCCTGAGATGCTGAAGGCTCTGGACACAGTCAGGCTGTCTTGGTTGACATGCACCTTCAATGTCGTATGGAGGATGGGGACAGTGCCTGTGGACTGGCAGACTGAGGTGGTGGTTCCTATTTTTATAACAGGGGACTGGAGAGTGTGCTCCACTTATTAGGGTATCACTCTACTCAACCTCCCTGGGAAAGACTCTTGCAAGGTTACTGGAGGGATCCTGGTAGTTTGGTCACCCAGTCTACATGTGTTTTGTGGACTTGGAGAAGGTTTATGACTGGGTCCCCCGTGCGAGCTTGTGTGGGTACTTTGGGAGTACAGGGCACCGGAGCTGTTGGTACAAGCCATTCGGTCCTTCTTTAACCAGAGTGTGAGTTGTCTGTTATGAATTAAATAATGAAAACACTTTGAAGCTGTTTATAGGGTAGTGATCATTGAATACTACCCAGCAATCAGGACCACAGAGTGGTGGGGGAATCCACACCTGCAAAAGTCTGGATAGCTACATCATAGTTGAGGTGTTCTAATGAACTTCAAAACACTTAAGGATTTAATGACTTTATAGATGCTGGCCATGCTGTGTTAGTGTGGAAAAAGTATGACACTTAACCTTAATCAGAACCACTACTTGCCTAACATTAATGCTTACCCTAACCTTTACCCTAATACTTAACCAAAGCTGACACTTGCACTAACCTTACACCCCATCCTTTTTGTAAAATTTGAGGAATTAGTCATGGGGCCCAACTTCCATTCCCCACAATTGACCCCTGGGCCCCACAAAGCAGTTTGTTCCATCCCCACAAGAATATATATAAATCCCCCGCCCACACACACACACACACACACACACACACTTATACATAAAGAGATAGAACACAATATGTGCTATATCTAGATTTTCAGGATTTGAATGGTATGAGAGATTCCTTGGGTCAGAGTGACATACGGTTTTGACATTGAAATTCTCAATTATAAGTCCAATTAGTGAAATTGAAATGGTGTTTGACAGATAAGTGGTTCCTTTAATTGTGGTTTATTTTATTTTTCTCATAAAAAAAAAAAATCAATCTCTGGTATATCTAACAAAAAAATCATAATAGATTGGTTCCTGAGAGTCAATGCATTAAACATAATACTGCTCCTTTTTATCGCATAATACGCCTGATACAAGTCGCAGTGGAAGAGACTGGGTGACACAAGGACAGAGTAGAAAGTACAAAGAAGAAAAGAGCTGGAACTGATTACATGTTCTGCTGTGGATAGGGAAACTTAACATATTGAGAGGGGCCTGCTCATCTAAGTGAAATAATTAGGTTGTATCTGACAATCTTATTAGTGTTTCAGATGTGCAGGTTTTGAAAAGAATTTGTATTATGGTGAATTTTCTGTGGTAGAAAGAGCAGTCAGCAGTAATTGATAGGATGGTGTTTGAAATTTGTGGTGGATACAGTGTATACTAATTGTGTGTGTGATGTAACTTTAACTCACAGTGATGGCTTGCTCAGGCATTGTTTTGTAATAAGCACTGCAGGAGCTTAATCACATCTAATGTATAGTATGTATTATATCATGATGTAAATGTGGAGTGTGCATGTACAGACTGTGAATAGAAGTCACAGCAAAGTGATACTGGCCATACAAACCATGCTCACACAAAAGAAGCACAATAAGAACCCAAGCACATATTCTCTCTCTCTCTGAGTGGATGGTGTGTGAATGGACAGATGCTGTGGCATGCACATGTGTTTTTCTTTCTTGCATAGAGGTGTTTTGGGTGGTCCATCTGTCTGAGGTATTGTAGTGTGTTTGGGGAGCATTTGTTACCAACTCCAAGGGGCAATATGCCTGTTTTAGATGGTGGTGCGAAGTTTGAGAAGTTGACATGCCAACATGCCATTAAGCTTGTGCCAGTTGTCAGCTGCTCTAGTCTAGCAGTTCAAAAAGTAGTGGGTTATGGTAGTGTGAAGTCTGCTTCCTGAATGAATGGTGCTGTATCATAGACAGTACAATTAAGTTACAGATGTGGTTGAATCAGTCATAGTCATTCAAGACATGTTTACTCAAGTTCTTCTGCTGGTTTGTCCAGCCAGAAAAATAACCATTTCTAATGCTCCCCCATTCATTAAAAATGGTGTGTTGGCTAAAGAGCTCTGCAGGTATGGACAGCTGGTCTCTCCATTCAAAATGGTTTCTTTGGGTTGTAAATCCCCGCTGCTTAAACATGTTGTGTGTCACAGGAGACAGGTCATCATGGTACTAAAGGATGACACATCTGAACTGATTCTGTCTTTTAATTTTAAAGTAGATGGGTTTAATTGCATGGTTTTCCCTATGATGGAAATGGCATGGAGGAGCATTTGACTTGCTCCTGCCCAGAGAAAGTGATTCAAGAACAGAGTAATGCAGTGTATCCTGATCCTGGTAGGCCTACTGCTGCTGCAGGAATGGTACCACCGCCATGAGCTCAGGCGATACCACTGAAGAGGGTTCAAGTATTGCCGTATACGGGAATGGCGAACCCCTGAGGCCCTTGGTACAGTGGCACTTGACTTTAGTGGAGTTTGGGTTTGGGTGTGGTCGCTGATACAGACAGAGATCTGCCTGTCAATACTGGCTGTAAAGGATCACCAGAAATTACTGATCAGCAGAGGGCAATAGACAGCAGACAGGGTGACATTGCTGTAGGTACACAAGCACAAAAAAGAGTTAGATAAACAGAGTGAAAGCAGGACTGCAGGAACAGTTGAGAGGCATGAAGATCAGGAAGTAAAACAAACTCAGTTAGAGACTAGTTCACTGTGTGATGACTTCACTGAAGATGAGGACATGTCTGATGATGAGCTATTGAAAGTACCACAAAAAAGAAAGAATTCAGGAAATATGAAGAGTGGTGCTAAAGTTTCTAAAGTGATCAAAGGTACTCAGGAGGAAAAATGCTCAAGGGAATCTGTCAGTGAGGCGGGAAGGCATGGTGGCTATTTTATGGCTCAAATCAAGTTTCTGCAGGAGACTAAGGGACTCAGGCTAGTATGTCTGTAGTACATCTTAAACCTTTTGTTGAATCAGCTCAGCCACTTACAAAACAGTCAGGTGTTTTTGGAGATGAGAGTCTTACAGCTCAGGAAAATTATCACCTCATTAAAGTTAAAGCTCAAACTCTTGACGATGATGTATAAATCGTTTTTTTTAATCTATCTTCTTTCTTTATTTTTTGTTACATGCTTTTTGTGAGTTGTCTTTAAAAATAGGAACTTTGAATCTGAATGCAGCAAGAGATGGTGTTAAGAGAACTACTTTTTTAAAACTAATTGGTTTAAAAAAGCTGGATGTTATCCTGGTTCAAAAAACACATAGCAATACAGAAAATGAAAGTGACTGGAAAAAAGAGTGGGATGAAGAGATTTTTCTGAGCCATAAGACTAGCTGTAGTGGTGGAGTTGGTGTTATCTTTTCAAGAAACTTCCTGCCTTCTTCATGTGAAGTGGATGAAATAATAAATGGCTGTTTAGTGAAGGTTCAGGTGCAGCATGAAAATGTACCTTTACAAAAGTGAATTTAAGGACAATATAAGCATGATTTCTTTTTATGCTGGTCTTCCACAGATCAGTGTTGAAGCCAATGAAAACCCTGAGCTACATGCAGCTCTGATGAGTGTACAGAATGGCAGAGCACCTGGGATTGATGGACTTCCTGTTGAGTTTTGTAAGTCCTTTTGGTCTATGTTGGCTGAAGACTTGCTAGAAGTTGTCAGTGGCAGTTTGGAAAGGGAGCAGCTGCCTTTGAGTTGCAGGAGGGCAGTTATCACTCTGTTGCCCAAAAGGGAAAATTTGTAGGAAATGAAAAACTGGAGACTGGTTTCTTCGCTCTGTACAGATTACAAGGTCCTGTCCAAGGCACCTGAATTCTAGACCCAGGGAGGTGATGGACTCTGTCATCCATACTAACCAGACATACTGTGTGCCTGGCAGGCTCATAAGTAATAATATCACTTTAGTCCATGATGTTTTGGAAGTCTCTGGTTCTTTAGCTGTAGACATTTGGCTGATTTCTATAGACTAGGAAAAGGTGAGTCAAACACCAATATTTGTGGTAGACTTTATCTGCCTTCGGTTTAAACCCACATTTCATAATCAAGATCCAGTTTTCTGGACTGTGACATTGAGAATGCTGTCAAACTGGGGACGACTGTGGATTCAGTGGGTAGAACAGTTGTCTCCACATCAGAGGGTTGGAGGTTTGAATCACGGTGCCTATGTGATGCCCACCAATGTGTGCCCACATTTGTATGAATGTGTATTTTACTTTGATATAAAACATGTAACAGTTGTTCTATCTTCTCTTGAAGAGATGTTTGGTACCGTTGACATGCCAATATACAGTATTGTATCTGTAGTCACACCACTTTTGACAGTAGGTGGCAGTGTGGGTTTGTTGTTTACACCAGGGACTGTAGACGGGAGCGCACGCACCGCTATTTCCTCATAATGGCGGAGAACATCGAAAAGAGGAAACACGTCTCCCTGTCTTATCATTTCTTTCCTGTATTACAGGTTAGTGTTGAACAAGAAAACCCCACAAAACTGCTAGAGTCAATAAGCAAATGTTGAGTTATGATTCAAGGGTGAGTGGTAGAGTGAAACTAGGGGAAAATGGTTCTGTGTATTCGTGGAAAGTAAGCTAATGCCCACCGAGAGCGATAGTAATGGCGGTGGTACACTCGATCATTCTCTTAAATAGCATGCTAGCTACCAGATACTAAGTGGGCCACACGTCTCCTTTTAAGATCACAGGTCATCTGGCTCCGTGTTTAGTCTGTTTTGTTAACTTGCTAGAAGGTGTTGTTTTTTTCCAATGATTTGGTTACTGACACCATTGCTTATAAGTCCAAGTCTTGCTAGATAGTAAATTTATGTTAGTGCATTGAGAGTGCAATTATAGTCAAACTATACTCGAAGAGTTAACCATAGAGAAACAGTTTTGGACCAACTAGTGACATGAAGTTGTACTGTGTGTATTGACTTGTGTGGCTATGTAAAGCCAAGAAACCTGTATAAAGATACAGCTAAAGTACAGTAGTTATGATACTGGAAAAAAGAGACAATGCACCGTGTTCAGTGAACTGATGATGTTTATGAATAAATAATGGCGGAGAACATTGAAAAGAGGAAACACGTCTCCCTGTCTTATCATTTCTTTCCTGTATTACAGGATACATACATCTGCTTACAGGTGTTAGATTCTGATACCTGTAACACCTACAGCTCACATGTTGAAGTGTCCTTGAGTAAGACACTTTGCCCTCGATGGTTAGAGCCATCGGTGTGAGTTGGCGCCGCAGATGGCTACCTTGGTTCTGTAAAAAAAATTCCTTGTGTGTGTAACATACATATAAAGGTGATTATCTTTATGAAGTCATCAGAGGTCTTAGTGTTCAGAGAGGGGTCAGACAAGTTGTACTGCTTGGCCATTGAACCCCTGCTTTATAAGCAGAGGGTGGTGATTTGTGTGGTGTTTGTTTCCTGGGTGTGATATTTCTTTTAAAGTTTCTGCATATGCTGATGATGTTATTGTCCTGGGAAATAAACATACTGATATTGATCTCTTAGTTAAAAATATAAATCTGTTAGGGTCGATCTCTTCTGCTAAGGTTAACTGAGGGAAAAGTGAGGCTGTCGTGGTGGGAGAGAGGCTGAAGGATCAGTTTAGGCTACCTGGAGGTCTGATCTGGAAAAGTGGAGGTCTGAAATATTTATGAGTATTCATAGGAAATGAAGTGTTTTTTTTACAGAAAAACTGGGAGAATGTTATGTAAAAGTTTAGAGGTCATCTTAATACACAAAAGTGACTTTTGCCTAAAATGTCCTACAGACGACGTGTGCTTATAGTCCATAATCTTATTTCTTCTGCTCTGTGGCATAGACTGGCTTCTGTTGATCCTCCAGTGTCTTTCTTTTCTAATGTCCAAAGAGTTTTGATGAATTTTTTTTCTGGGAGAGGTTGCACTGGATTCCTCAGAGTGTCTCACAAAAAAAGAGGGGGGGCAAGGTCTGGTGTATCTGGCCAGTTGAGGTGCTGCCTTCTGTTTACAGTTCATACAGAGACTGACAACTCAGAGTTGAGAACAGGGCACAGAGTTACATCTCTGCAGTCTCTTTGGAGCTGCTACCCACTCCCAGTTGCCCCTAGAGCCTGTGTCTGCCCCCTGACCACCTAAATTATATAAATCAAAAATCAACTCAAGCGGAGTTATTCATCACTGCAGGAAGAATATGTCAGTCTAAATGAATCTACCCCACCTAGGCACAGTAACTGTCACATCCCTCGCAGCACAGGCCGAGGCGGAGGTGTGGCAGCAATCTTAGACTCAAGCCTATTAATCAACCCTCATTTGAAAGCCTTAACCTGAGTCTCTCACACCCAAACTGGAAAACTCAAAAGCCAGTTCTATTTGAATAAGGGGCAGGTGGAGGGTATACAATAACAGTTTTTAACTGAATTCTCAGACTTTATGTTTGATTTTGTGCTTAGTACAGATAAAATAATCATAATGGGTGACTATTATTCATTTAGATGGCAGCCTCAACAGTACATTCAGTTCATTATTATACTCAAGTGGCTTTTCTCAAACTGTAAATAAACCCCCTCTCTGTTTTAATCACACCCTTGACCTTGTCCTGACATATGGCATCAAAAGTGAACACATAATAGTTTTCTATAGAATTAGAATAGGAGGCAGAGCCTTTAGCTATCAAGCTCCTCTCCTATGGAACCAACTCCCAGTCTCAGTTCGGGAGGCGGACATCCTCTCTATCTTTAAGATTAGACTTAAGACTTTCCTTTTTGATAAAGCTTATAGTTAGGACTGGATCAGGTGACCCTGAGCCTTCCCTTACTTATGCTGCTATAGGCCTAGGCTGCTGGTCAAGAAGGCCCAACGGCGGCTGTACTTCCTGAGGAGGCTGAGGAGGTTTGGCATGTCGCCTAGGATCCTTTGTAACTTCTACAGCTACATCATTGAGAGCATCTTGACCAGCTGCATCACCGTCTGGTATGGCAGCACTACTGCTATGGACCGCAAGCGCCTGCAGAGAGTGGTAAAGACTGCAGAGAAGATCACGGACTCCACTGCCCTCTCTGCAGGGTGCATAGGAAAGCTGCCTCCATCCTCAAAGATCCCACCCACCCCCAGCATGGACTGTTCCCTACCCTCTGGCCGGAGGTTCAGAAGTGTGAAATGTAGGACCACTAGACTGAAAAACTCTTTCTTTCCTTCTGCCATCAGACTCCTAAACAGATGAGGAGTTTATTACCAGGAAATACGTCATGTACTGTCGACCTGTACTGTTTACATTCTCAGTTTGCACATGCATAACTGCACACTGACTGTTGACTGCTGCACATGCTGCTCCCATGCAGCATACATTCTCTGTTATATTCTTTTATTATACTGCTGTATTTGCTGCTTAAAGTGCCTTAGATTTTGTGTTACTTATTTATCTGCTTTATATTTCACTTGTATTTTGTGGCAGTCATGTGGACGGCAAAGTAAGAATTTCATTGTACAGGGAAACACGTTTCCTAACTGTGCATATGACAAAATAAACACTTTGAACTTTGAATTTGAACTTTGGGGAGCTTGCTTTATGAAAATACTTATTTCAGCATATAACATCCTGTTTTGCATATTTGCATTCCTTTGCATTCTTCTGCATTTCACAATAAAGACTAATTTGATTGTCAAGCAGCCCAAGTTTGTTTTGTCAAATTTAAACTTTCACAAGTCCATCAACAGATCATTAATTTTAAAAACACAATCTAATCATTTTTTGTAACTCATAAGAGCACATAACATATTTATGCTCCATTTACTCCAAAACTCTATTGTGCAATGGATGGCTGGTCACACACCTGTCTCACAGGTCACACAGACAGCTTCTTCCACACTTTCCCTTCATGCATCAGGTTCACCTGTTTGTTAAATGTGCAGAAAACCAACATCATTTGGACTGTGTGACAAGATCATCAGCTCTTATGTTAAAGGCTATTCATTAAATGCATAATGAATAGTCCAATGTTAACATAAACTACTATGTGTGATGTATTATGCTACATATGCGATGTGGCGTTCATTTTATTACATTTAATTACAAACATGAAACACTATAAATAACTTGTACAGAGCTCTAATTTACTTTACATTCAACATCCGTGCCTAGTTACATACTAGCTAACTAAACTAACATTAGTTTGTTTACCGCAACCGAAATAACCTTGGAAATCAACTGGACTTGGATATCTAGATCGACCCTCACTGATACTGATACTGGGCTGTAATGACTCAGTCGTTAATGGGCAGTGTTGGCCTTCTAAGGACTGAAACCACACCGAGGGGGATAAATATCTCCGACTCAACACCAGTCAGTCAGAACTGATGAAGCCTCTTGGATGAGAGGTGAAACGTCTTCGATCTAGATATCCAAGTCCAGTTGATTTCCAAGGTTATTTCGGTTGCGTTTTACTATGACCTGGATGACTGAGAATCTGCACAGATTAGTTTGTTTACCAACTACAACCAGGTCTTCCCTCTCTCACCCTCCTCTCTTTGAACCTCCCTGTCTCAGCCTCATCTAAAGAATTTTCTTATGCCCATCTACAGGAGTCAATAATGTCTGAGTCAAAATAAGATATTTGGTATTATAAAAAAACTTAACTTACTCCCTGTCACATACCTCAGTCCATTCCTTTAGTTAGTTTCACACTCCAATACTTGGATTGGTGTGTGCCTGCTGCACTGCACCAGCTATGATGTGCAAGACGTGCATACAGTATGTATGCAACGTGGTGTATGAACCCTGACTGCTGTGCCTCAGTTTGTATTTAGCTTTGACATTCTTGATTAGAACAAATCAATTCCTTTCCCATTATTATCAAGCTAAATTAATCCACTTCCAAATATAGGAGCTTGTTAAAAGCTACTGGAGCAGAGCACCAGTGTCAGAGCCATACTGAACTACATCTGAGCCAGTGCAGTTTTATTTCCACTGCATTGTAAAATGCATTGTTTATCTTATGCATCTTGATCACATGAGAGTGGCACAAACTACTGATGTAATAGAAGCCATACTAAACTGGCAGTATTGTGCAGTGTTACTAGTCTGCAACACAGAGCCCTTGGTGCCAGGGATTATTTTGTTGTTCACAATATGTAAAGACCTTGGTGTGTGTAAGGACTTTTGTTGTTCAATGTAAAGACTTTCCCTCATGTCGCTGTTACAACTACACAATTTCATGGTATTTGCACTAATCCGGTCACTGTGCCGGTGTGACATTTCAGCCAATTATGTGTCTCAATGGGCTTGTTTTGTTGAAGGTGGAACTTGTGCCCCCTTGGCTCTGGCTTGAAACACGGCCGGCTGAGCCCAAGCCAGCACGATTACCCCCCGCTGTTAGAAACAAATGGAAATAGAAGCAAATGTGCTCACCTGCTTCCACACAATAAAAGCAGGCTGACACAAGCTTCTCGCTAGAACAAAACACTAAGCAAGAGTTTGAGTCAGAAGTTACCTAAACATATATGTTATGGCCCAGACTGTATATGTGTCCTGGTGTACACAATCTCACTCCTAGTCTGAACCACGGATACAGGAAGTGTTTGCTTGATGCTGCAAAATGAATTTCATCCAGTTATTAAATCCAAGGGTTCACTTATTTTTTTCACCAGCACTTTGAATGTTTATGGGCTGGGTTCAATAAAGACATGAGAAATAATTGTTTGCATGGATGTTTGGTCAAAGAAAATTGAGAGCCCTCCTCAGTCATGTCAAACAGTGTTATTATGATATTATGACTTGAAATGTCCTGCACCACGTATTCAATTTAGGTAGCAAAGTTAACTCTCCATGCACAAATCAGTGTAAACACAAACTCGCCACCACAGTTTATAACTGAAAGAGCTCATTATATGTAGGGCAAGGGTGATGAACATAAACAAGAGAAACATTTTAGTGACATAATTACAGTTTGGGGTTCTGATAACACACTGGCAGCATAACCAACAATTGGGGCCATTTGGCTGGTGGGCAGTGGTTGCTGAACCTGTTTCACCTCAGTGAAATGCAAAGACCTAACAAAAGTGGTGGGTTTGTACTGCAGTACAAGGCCACAAATGATAGGCATTGGTGTCATGTTACCTTCCTTCCACCACTACAGCTAAAACAGAAACAGACACACAGACAGTGTGGCTGCTGCTGTTGCAGTTCGTGCAGCCTATACCTGGTGAGAGTGCTGTGGTGCAGGAGCATGTTGGACCTGGAGTTGGGACTCGGACTTCCACAATGTTCATACATCAGAGTGTCATAAAAATAGAAAAACAATATTGAAAACAGTGGTCTTTTGTTTAACAGAGTTTCAACATACTGTATGTTCACCCCGGGTTTCCGAAGGTTCATCACTGACATCCACCATCACAACACTATGTAAATGAACAAAAACCACAATATGTCTTCTTTAATACGTCTACTCACTGTTAATGCCTGTCAGTCTGTCAGTCCTGGATTATTTTACTTATCTGTACCATAGACCTCCACTGTTGAAAAAAAGATTAAAAATACCTAAGTGAAACACACAACTGCTTAACTTGTTTCCTTACTATGAAAAACAAAAGCCCTAATATTTTTTTTTAAATGTTGTCCCAAAGGCTCTGGTTGGAGCAACGAGAGCTGTGCATGCACAGGATCTCCGGATATCCTTAACAAATATAAGGGCCTTGTGTTTTTTAATGAGGAAATATGTCCCTAAGTGTAACGGTGTGTTTTCACTGTTTTTAATTGTTTTTTATCAACAGTGGAGGTCTATGGCACAGACTAATAAACTAACCAGCAGGAGTGACAGACTGAAAGACATTAATCATGAGTAGAGGTAAATCACTGTTAAATAAAAAGGGTCGTGTCAGGAAGGGCATCCGGCGTAAAAACATGCCAAATTTACTCATGCGAATCAGATTCGTTGTGGCGACCCCTAACGGGAACAGCTGAAAGTAGAGTGGTGGTAGTAGTAGAGGCAAATCATTGTTGGACTTTGTTCTCGGATTAAGGGGAATTGAACATACTGTTACTAGAGAAAATGCTCGGCCTTATCTTTAATGTTTTACAAATAACATGTGGAGTCAGTGTGTCAGAAGAAATTGCATGATTTTAAGGCAACCATAAAAGAACAATGATCCCAGAAAATCTGGGAATTCTAGCAGGAGAAATCAGATAAATAGTGGCTTAAAAACAAGCATCTGAAAAAAATTTGAAGAATGTCAAAAAAACCCAAAAAAACAAAAGTGCACTTAATGTGATCAGCAGGCAAAAATCATGTTGCATGGCAAGTTGTAAAACAGACCATGACAGAGTGAAGAAATATCTGAAGGTAAAGAGCAAACAACTGGACAAGGAGATAACGGACCAGGAAAAAAGTGCCAAGAAAGTTTGAGGAAGGGCCGTATACTACGGGAGAATCGTGACCTGTGACCTGAAAAGGCTTTAAGACAAATGTCTCTTTAGCTTATGTTGATTACTTACAGCATATATGGTTGGAGAATGCAGTGACTTCACAATAAATCAACAAACAATTTCTCGTACAGACACATCATTTCTAACCTCTCCGGTAAATCTGTGACCTACCCTGCACTCTGCAAGCTTTGAATGTACTCTATACAAGCTTATAGATCTTTTTCTACTTCCATGTCTGACAGGTGGAAATTATTAATACAGACTTTTAATGACCCCAGCTTCCCAAGCATTTTCTTTGAGTAATACACCATAAATAACAATCAAAAGCTAAATCTGAAAAATGTGATGCAAGGACTCTTTAGGTCAGAGCTTTAGAATTAATGCTGCTTCATTAACATTACATAATGAAGAATATGAATAGTTTTAGTCTCTAAACTCAATTAGTCTTTTTTATTCCTCAGTGACTTCTTTGAACATGTGGCACAATAATGAGAGAGAATATTTTTAGGGCCACAACAACCCAATTAAATAAGTCTTCATGCTTCAGCAAGTTACAACAGAGTACTTTTAGAAGTCCCACTTGCTTACCCTGCACCGCCTTTGTTTTATAATCTTTTCAGTTCTATTGAATTATAAAATAGTGTTATAAGAAAAGGGGGTCCCAAGAGAAAAATATGGCCACATTTTTTAATTGTAAAGAATGCATCACTTTTAAAATGAATCTTGCAGTATGCACAAGACAGGTACAAGCTGACTTAATTAGGATTACTAAACTGTTCCTAACAAGATTGTACTGGTCAGTAATGCATCTGATGCTAATTCTTTTGAGAACTGCAATTAGGTTTCATAGCCTGTACTCAAATCTGAAGTGAATTTATCAATCATAAACTCAGCTAATTTGTTGAGTTGAGAACTGCATATCAAATCTGACTGATAGTAACCTGACTATGGAATATTATGTCATTCATAACGGTGGACTTGAAAACTGAGCTTTAGGTCTTTGTGTGTGTATATATATATATATATATATATATATCACATCACAGCACGGAGGCACTAATCCTGGCAGCACAGGAACAGGCTTTAAGTACAAGATCAATAGAACAGTCTGTTCCTGTCCTGTTTGGTCGCTGATCCAAACCAGACAGTGATGGAGGAGCAGAGAACAGATTTGATGATTTCTCTGTAGAACTGTATCAGCAGCTCCTGGGGCAGGTCGAACTTCCTGAGCTCTTC